GTTAGATATTATTAAGATAACATACATTTTATTTATATTTTAAACATATTTAGAAAAAAACATAGGTTTCTGTAAAGAACTTAACAGATTAAAAATATTTTTATCATCTTTTATCATATAATAGTTATATAACTATCATATAATAATCATAAATAGCAAAAATTCAAGTTTCTGCTAAGAGCCTACCCGGGTATTTTATTCCACAAAATACAGTATCATTTCATCATACTTCCTTTCGATCAATCCCAGAACTGATCTACCACAGATACATCCTTTAAAAGAAAAATAATTTTGTAAGATAGCAAACTCTCAATAATTCGAAAAAAATAATAGACACATGACAGAAAAATGTGAAGTTATTAAAGAGGTCAGCTGGAGAATTTCGTCATTTAGAAGTGGGCGAACAGTTCTTCGGTGGCGAATCACTCTGTCATAAAAACATCGTTACTTTAGAAGAGGGCGAAACTGTTGGTTAGTAACAAAATTAACGGATCAGTTGGAAAATTATGTTATTTAGAAGAGGCAAAGCTGTTCTTTAGTAACGAAATCACTCAGCCATAAAATCGTCGTTACTTAGAAGAAGAAGGCAAACTGTTCTTTAGTAATGAAATCACTCAGCTACAAAATCGTCATTAGTTTAGAAATAGAGCGAAATAATTCATTACCTTTAGAAAAGGGCAAAAAAAAATTAACGAAATCATCTTTAGAGGAGACGAAATCGTCTTTAGAAGGAGTCGTTAGAGGGACGAACTATCTTTTATAATAAAATATCTATAGAACTGTCGCGTACCTTTTTATTAAAAATTTTCGAATACACATTTTTCGATTGAATAGCAACTCTTTTTTGTGATCGTACGCGTCATCTTCAATAATTAAAATCAAGCGAAATACAAATCTTGCTTCGAATACCTTTCTATTCGTTTATTTTATATACCGATCGTGTATCCGTTAGGTTTTGGAAAGAGAAAGCAGTGCAGAAAAAGTTTTATTTATACACCGTGTGGTTACAATGATATACTGATGATCCGTGAAAGTAAATCTGTCACGTATAAAGCGCGTTCAAACTATGAGTAAGTCTACTTATTAAAGTTGGTTTTCTAAAATAAAAGGATTTGTTTTTGGATGTCCTAAAATTCCTAAATTGTCCCAAATTATCCTAACGATTGACGAAATGCACTTAGGAGCACACTTTGCATCAAGTGCAGATCTACAACGTAGTTTATTAAATTTTGGTAATATTAAAGAATGAAAGCTTTCGAATATTATCAAAAATCTGATAGTAGTTTACTTTAAGACAGCGCGGTAATTGATAATCTCTAACTATAATTTGATTTTTATTTTAATTCTAACAAGAAATTAATAAATAAGTTTTTCTCACATTTTCCAGTCACGTGATGCAGCAGTCAATCAAAATACTGTAATTGATTTTGAAAAACTTTTAAGATTCTAGAGAAGATTTCTAAGTAACTACTTGATTAAACTCAAATTTTTTTAATTTAATTCTATACTTTTTTTAGAATTAAAATAAAAAAAAAAATCAATAGATGGTTGTTTAGAGAAAGGTATATCAAATTTATTTAAAATTAAAAAATAACTAATTTTTAGTTTTTTTTAAAAATTTCAAAATTAAAATAAAAAATCTTTAATATTAAATTATTTTGATTGGCTGCTGTATCACGTGATTAAAATTTTTTGTAAATAAATGCTATTGATTTTTAATTTATTATTTTATAGTCTATTTATTTTTACATATTCAAATATTTGCTACAATATATATATAGTAAATATTAAATAAATTCTTAAATAATTCTTAAATAATTATTATTCCAAACTCTAAATTAATACTATTTTATATAATTGTATTTCACTTGATTTAGAATTTGAAATAAAATAATTGATATTTTAAATTTATATAAAAATATTAAATTGAAACTTAATTCTTAAATACAGTATAATAAAAATACAATAAATGTCGCGGCTAATGTTGAAAACTAATTAATAATTCTAAACTTACAATACGTAATTTCAATACGTATTAAGTAGATTTCTAGCTATACTTATTCATATAAGCCTAGTTTAACAATTTTTTTTATATTTATTCTAATTGATTATAGCTTAACTTTATATTTTGCAAAAAAATTAAAATTTAATTAATTAAAATAACAAAGCAACATCTTACTCACTTTTTGGGATATTAAGTAGTCAGACTATTTTAGTTTTTACAGCACAATTTATATGTAACCAGCTAGTTCGACTAGGTTGGTTACATATAAATTGTACTGTAAAAACTAAAATAGTCTGACTACTTAACATCCCTACTCACTTTATATTAAAAAAGCTTATAATTTTAAATACAAACATTTACGTATTATATAAATAGTTAATATTTAAAATAAGCTACGTATTTAAACTATAAATACTTATATACAAAGATAGTAATTTATTTACACAGTTTAATTTGTATTTCAAGAACATATTGATTAACTAAATCATCTATTAATTTATGAATACTAATGTAAGTATATATATATATATTAATTTATCAGATATAAACCAGAATTACACATACGTACGTACGTATATTAATGCACAAGTCACACGTCATAATGAATTGCAGATATGAGTGTTGCCAACTTGATTTTCGGAAACTCCGCTTTTAGAAACAGACAATATCAAATTATCGTTATATAAGCTGTTTCTGAAAAGAAATTTCGAAAAAACCAACAATTTCAGGTTTTCTCATGGCGTGAAAATCCCTATATTAGTAAGGTTAGACTCAAAGCCAGTCTATATAAATTTCTTTCGATATAGTAAATTTTTATTAAAATAGAATTATTATTCATATGAATTTTATCTGTCTGAGAAAAAAAAATATACACTGGTGATGAATTAGTGATGTAAAAACTTCATGGTAAAAACGGTTTTGATTATTCAGAAAAAAACTTTATTTAATATATCACCACTAAATAAAGATTGAGTTTCGGTAAAGTAAAATCCGAAATCCGAAACTTTATACAAAAAAGCTTCGGGCCGCGGGCATAATGGAGATATTAAAAACGATCGATAATCGATAGTTGTAACAAGAAATTTAATAATATTATCTATTATTAATGAATTATTTGTTACATTTTCGCTACGTATGAAATAAGTATTAACCAATTACAGAATTATTTTTTTAGCAGTCAAAATTAAGTTTCCATCTGCTAACGCTAATAATATACCATTCGAAATTAGAACAATTACGATAATTAAACTAGTTTTTTTTTCTTTTTTTAAAAATAATTTAAACCTTTTAAAGTATATATATATATATAAGGTTATAAATAAACAATTATTTACAAACCAAAATTATTACTGTATTAATAATCATATGCAAGTCTATCTCAATATCTATCATTTTACCTATCATACCTATCACTATGCCTATCGCTATACCAATCATTATATCTTTCATTATATCTATCATTATATCTATCATACCTGTCGACACCATATCCATCACGTTCACGATCATACTCACGTCTATCACCACGATCATAAAATCGTGAAGAGTAAACTCTATCAGATGGATTATATTCATCTCTTTCCTGAGATTGTAGATATTCTCGTTCCTGCGATAAATATCCACGATCTCTTGGAAAATAACCACCTCTATGTGAGCCTTCTGGCGAAAATGGCCGAGGATGAGAATCTTTTGCCATAAATGGTTGGTTCACTGTACGTTTTGTTTGATCATACCGATAACCAGCCATTTCTATTAATGGTACTTTTTTATTGGGGTTTAATGCAGGATCTGAAGGCGGCGTTGGTTGAGGCGGTGGATAACCATATTTTGAACGGGGCATATCATATGGAAGATGTTTATTAGAAGGATATCGATCATCACGATATTGATATGTTTGATATCGCGGTGGTGGTGGTGGTAGTTCATCATGAAAATATCGACCAGTTGGATCCTCACGTTCTCGGTACCCATTGGGTCCATTATTATGCCTTGGTATTGGGCCTGGACGCAAATCATAACCTGGTTCATAACGCATGTTAGAATTATTTTGCCCAACACGTGCCTGTCTTCCCGATTTTATCATTTGTATTGGTACATTATCATTATCATACGTAGATACATGACTTTCATCATAATCATCATCAGAAGACAAATCATCAGATAAAGCCTTCGCAGAAAGCTTAGATGAGGTGTTATTTTTTCGTCTTAAATTAGATACTTTGATACCAGTACTACTACTTGCAATACTTTCACGATTTGAAGATGTAGATCGTGAATCGCTAGCATCTTCATTAATTGCGTTTGGTACATTTAAAACATTTATACCATATTTTCTACCTAAAGGAACTATGTCACTATCTATAGAAAGAATTGATGCACGATTGGTTAAATTAGTTGATAATGCTAAATGCTTATTAATTGGTTCTCTACGTATTATATCATTATTAACCCGCTCACTAAGTGAACTAGACTTTGAAGAAATTGAAGAAGTATGAGATCTTTTACTCCTTATAGAATCCTTTCTTGATAAACGTTCATCAGATTCATTCCTAGACCTATATTTATCAGATTTGAACATTCTCGAGCGATCGTAAACCATTTCTCTAACATCACTTCTTGAAGACATTGAGGAACGTCTAGAACGCGAATCATCTCTGGAGGGAGGAAATACATTCACATTAGGGCGTATTTTTACATTAGGATTTGGAGATTTGCTTCGGAAAGAATGACTTGTAGAAGTATATTCAGTTTCTGGCGAAGAAGAAGAAGAAGAACTTGATGACTGACTGCTAGATGGTATTTGTTGTGAAGATTTATCATGATAACGCTTTATATTAGGTAAATGATCATCAGAAGTGACACTAGGAGTTTTATTCCTAAATTGTGAATCATCGTTTCGCCGAACGGTAGTAGTGTCATTGTTAAATGAACGATTATTATTATTTCGAAGTTTTTCTCTTGATATTTTATTATCTATAGGATATAAATTGTCATTACGACCACCAGTTCCAACTTGACGAGACCCATGATAGTGATAATCCGAATCATCATGAACATATCGATATTCATCTCTCGGATATCTATAATCATCTTTTGGATAGTCTCTTGGATATCTGGGATCATCTCTTGGATATCTGGGATCATCTCTTGGATTTCTTGGATCATCTCTTGGATATCTGGGATCATCTCTTGGATACCTATAATCGTCTCTTGGATACCTATAATCGTCTCTTGGATGCCTATAATCGTCTCTTGGATATCTATAATCATCCCTTTCACGATAATCATCATGAATACGATCAAGAGGATCTCTTTCGTATCTTCCGTTACGATCATATCTATCATCATCTGGATAACTATATAATTGTTGCTGCAGTTGCGGTGGTGACAAATGTGTCGCTCTTGCCTCCATACGATGCCTATCCTTCATTCTATCAAGTACATTATTTACACCATCACTTGGATTCACATCTTGAACCCAATCTTCCACAGTTACAATTTTTTGGGTAATCTCATTTTTATGCTGAATGACAGGAATTCCTTCGTTAACATTATTTGGAATGGTACGTTTTATTACATTTCCTTTAATATTAGAATCAGAAGCTTCGGATGTGGAATCTTCACTACTATCTTTCAATTGCTTTTTATTTTTTTGAATTAATTTCTTGGGTTTTTTTGATTTTTTTTTGTAAAGATTATCATCACTTGATTCACTATCACTCGTTTCACTCTCACTTTCAGTTTCAGAGTCCTCACTATCAATTTGTTTTTTTACTTTCAATTTATAATTATTATTTTTATTATAATTATTATAAGTTGTAAAGTTGTTAGATTGATCGAAAGGAAGTATGATGAAATGATACTGTATTTTGTGGAATAAAATACCCGGGTAGGCTCTTAGCAGAAA